ATACCAGGAGGATATGATACCATTAGATTTTCATAGGCATACTGAGAACATTCACCTTCACTATTTAGATAGGATAAAATGAAATAGGGATTGAAAAGCTGGTTCTTCAGAACAAAATGTGGAAACTACTACAATTAGTGGTGTAACAGGGAGCTTCGTGCTCCTGTTACTTTAAGAGGTGAAAGGCTGCAGACAGGGATCAGGTGGCTCTCAAGGGAAAACACCTGACCAGAATGGGGCTGGGCTTAGATAATATATAAGCCCAGGGCCTGAGCTGGGGCAGGCAGTCTGACCCTGGAGGCCATATAAGGAAGAGCTCATGAGGAGGAGGACTACAGAGGAGCTCCTGACCCACACCAGGAATACACTTGAGCCCCGGAGCAGGACAGTCAAGTAGAATATTGTAGACTTGCCTGGAGAAAACCAGTTGTTTGGGATTGGGACTAGCAAGAGAGATCAGAGGTCCCACTGGAGCAGGGGCATAGCCAGGGAACAGGGCGGAACAGGTAACAGGCCTGAGAATAAGACCAGAGCCTGGAAGTAGGGCAGAGGAAAGATTAGAAATGGGACTAGAGAGATCCCAGTGCCCAGAAAGGGGCAGAGATGGGGCTAGAGAGCTTAGCATCCAAGGAGGGGCAGAGAGAGAAGACTGGGGCCAAGAGCCCATTGAATTGATTAAGCCTGGGAGCAGGGCAGAGCCTGGGAGTAGGACATGAATTGATCAACTGGTAACATCTGTGAGGCTTGGGTGTGGCAAAAAAGAGAGATGAGCATGCTATTTAATTAGCTCTTAAGGTGATGAGAAATTAGACCATAGCTTATGAGTAGATGAGATTTCACTCAGGGACCCCTGGGGCAGCCTCCCATTTCTAAAGACTTATTTATATCAAGTCAGAGAAGGTAAGTAGAAGAGGAGGTGGCCTCAAGAACAGGTGGCCACCAGGGGCTGTCACAGCCCACCTTGGGGCAAGCCATTGTTATAGGATTAAACTTTCCTATGTACAAGCTATTCTATGATTGTATAATAGCAGGTTCTTGTATTTTCCTCTGAAGCATCAGGCACTAGCTACTTTCAGGCTGGGAGCAGACACATTTGACATGGTTCTGATTGATCCAAGTCGAAACCTGAGGCAAAAGAAGAGCAGCACAACCCTTTACACAGTAGCTTGTCCCTGAATGGCAATTAATTTGGATGAGCTCTGATTGTCCCAGGAAAAAGTGTTAGCATATTTTATCTCTCATATTATACAGGTACTTGAAATAGGACAATGAGCTTTTTTAAGGGAAAAATACAACATCTGCTTTTAGCCCCAGAAGCAGAATATGGGATTAGGTCATGGGAGCCAACATGGCAATTCCTAGCTTTCTGTTTTCTTTTACTTCCTTTTTGCTCTTCCTCCATCTTTTGTTGTTTTTCTTCTTTTCTCCATTTGCCCCTCCAAAGTTTTCCTTCTATTTTTCTTTCATAGATTTATAGATTGTAGGGCTGGAAGAGATCTCAGAAGATCATTGGGTCCAGCCCCCTGCACCAGGCAGGAAGGACAGGTGGGGTCAGGTGACCCCAGCAAGATGACTATCCAGTCTCCTCTTGAAGATTTTCTGGGTAGGCGATAGCACCATGTCTGGAGGGAACTTATTTCAGTCTGGCCACCCTAACTGTGAAGAAGTTTTTCCTAATGTTTAACCTAAAATTGTCTTCCAGGAGTTTGTGGCCATTACTCCTGGTTCTCCCTAAGGGCACCCTGGTGAACAGTTGTTCACCAAGCCCCTGATGTACTCCCCTGATATAGTGACAAACTGCTACGAAGTCCCCTCTCTGCCTTCTCTTTTTCAGGCTGAAGAGTCCCAGGTCCCTCCTTATATGGTGAGCCTCTCCTCGTATGGCTTGCCATGCAAGCCTCTAATCATATGGGTGAGTCTTCTCTGGACTCTCTCAAGTTATACCACATCCTTGTTAAAGTGCGGCACCCAGACCTGGATGCAGTACTCCGGTTGCAGTCTCACCAGTGCTGAGTACAGCCGAAGAATCACTTCTTTGGTCTTACTGGAGATGCACTGATTGATGCATGCCAGGGTATTATTTGCCCTGCTGGCAACAGAATCACACTGCTGGCTCATATTCATGCTGTGCTTTATTATTACCCCCAGGTCTCTTTCAGTCATAGTGCTGGTTAGGTTGGCATTGCCAAGCCTGTAGGTGTGCAGGGGATTGTTTGTCCTCAGGTGGAGCATTTTACATTTCTTGAGGTTGAACTTCATCTGGTTCTGACTTGCCCAACTTGCTAGCTTATCTGGATCTGCCTGTTTCTGTAGCCTATCTTCAAGCATGACCACGCTTCCCCATAACTTTGTGTTATCTGCAAACTTGGCCAGTGAGCTCTTCACCAAATCATTGATGAAGATGGTGGAACGTATGGGACGAAACCCTGACCCCTCCGGGACACTGCTGCCCACCTCTCACAAAGATGGTGCAGATCCATTTATTAGGACTCTCTGAGTCCTACTCCACAACCATCTTCATACCAACCTAACCGTCTCACAGTTAAGCCGACTGTCTTCCAATTTTCTTGCGAGAACATCATGGGATACCAGATCAAAGGCTTTCTGGAAGTCAAGGTATATAATATCCACCACTTCTCCTGAGTCACCTAATCATAAAAGAAGATAAGGCTGGTAAGACAAGACCTGCCTGTGACGAAGCTAAGCTGGCTGTCATTCAGAATCCTACCTTCTGCAAGCCTATCACACAGACTCCTTAATGAATTTTTCCAGGATTTTTCCTGGGATAGAAGTTAGGCTAACTGGGCTATAGTTACCCGGGTCCACCCTCCTCCCCTTCTTGAAGATGGGCACAACACTGTCCCTCTTCCAGTCCTCAGGGACCTCTCTGGAGTGCCAGGAGTTTTGGAACAGTTTCGCTAGGGGCTTTGCAATGACATCAGCCAGCTCTTTCAGCACCCTTGGATGGAGTTCATCCAGTCCTGCTTACTTATGTACATCTAATTGTTTTAATTGATCACACACCAGTTACATGACAACAGTAGGGAGGCAATCATTTCTGTCCTGCTCATTCTGTACCCTATCAGGCATGATTTTCTCCGTGGCCCAGTGAAATACTGAGGCAAAGTAGTCATTCAGGAGTTCAGTTTTCTCCTTAGTGTCGGTAACCAGATGCCCCGAGTTGTTGAACAGTGGCCCCACACTCCCATTTACTTTCCTCTTGTTCCCTGCATGTCTATAGAAGGACTTTTTGTTGTCCTTGATATCTGTTGCGAATCTAAGTTTGATCTCTGCCTTAGCCTTTTTAATTTGTTCCCTACAAGTGTGGGCAGTTGTTGTATAGTCCTCCTTGAGGCCTGTCCCCAGCTTCCATTGTTTGTACGCCTCTTTCTTCTTTCTAAGGAGGACTGTGATTTCCCTATTTAGCCAGGAGGGCTTCCTAGCCCTTCTGCTGCCCTTTCTCCATGTGGGAATGGATTTCCATTACACCGTTTTGTTTTCCTGCTTTCAAATCCCAGCTTTTCTTCTCCCCTTCTTACTTCCCTGCCACCCTTTTCCCAGACAACATGAACATACAGTTCATTTCAACACAGACAAACTTTGGTATTTCACAGGCTTCACCCATGTCCAGAACACATTTAGTTTTAAAAAACTCGCCAGAAAGACTAGATTTAGTTCTAAAAAGTAGGCCTGCCTACTCTTGAAAGCAATTTATAATTACGCATCCTATAATATATGTTATGTCCTGATATCCACCAAAACAGTTTACAAATACAGGAATTATTAATTATTAATGCACAGTATTACATGGATAACTACAGAAAGTGGGCACTAAACAAACATACTGGTTATATTTGTTACTCAATAAGTAAACCTGAAACCAGGCTATTTATCCAAACATTTATTGTTGAATAATTCCTTCACAGTGAGGTAATGAGTGTCCCTTCTCTTATTAATGTACATGAAAGACTTTTCTTTACAGATCAAACTTATTTTGTAATTTGACACAAAAGTAATTCGCTATATTTTGTCATAGAACATACATTTGAACAAATGTTGTAATAACTGTCGTTGTTGTGTTAATGCAGTGCTCCTGGTTACTGCAGTCTTCCTGTTTCTGGATTTTCTGCTAAGGGATCAATATTGAACTAACCATACAATCTTAAATTAGTCATTCATCTATACAGTACAGTTTAGATATGATTCATGTTTTTAATTATGAGGTATCAGAATGTTATTTGTTTCTTTTGCTTGATGGCATAAAGTGGAATACAACTGAAATTAAAATACAAACAATGCCCTGAAGACTTTCACTGAATATTAGAATTTACCTTAGCAAAAGTAAATGTAGTGTATTTTAAGGATGTATAGAGCCTCTTTTTTATTTGATTGAATTATTAATATATCATTTTTTTACTTTAGGAATATACATGCATTTTATATCTACAATATTTCTAAATTCTCACACTAAAGAGTATGCCAAGGTTTGCATACTCAGTTAATGATGACAATATTGAAACAAATTATCTTTCCTGCTTTATAGGATTAAGAGGTGGAGGTTATTCCAAAATCATCCATATGACGGTGCTCTTAAATCACATAAACATTTTTTAAAATTCCATTCTTAACCTTTCTTCACTATTACCATAACCTCCAGTCGATAAGAGTACCAAATAGAACAGGTTTTGTACACATATCTTACTAACCTCTAAGCTAACAATGTTTACATTAATCCCCATGGGCACACACAAATGCAACTATAATTTGTGGAGGTGACACATTTAAGTGAACAGGATATATAATCTGAAACATGGTTGTAAAAAGAAGGTCTGAAAAATATTCCTATAATAAAGAGAAAAAGTGTGGATAATATCCAAGAATATTTCATATTTGTTCAGTTGCCTGGGTAAAGTATTGAAATTAAAATCTGTTCCTAGTTCATTCATTTGGAGGGAAAAGAATCCAGTTTTGAAAAACCTCTGCAATTTTGTTCCTTTCAGATATGCATACTATTATTCTGAAATAGGAGCTGGTGTTCTCTTTGCTGCCTACATGCAAGTTGCATTTTGGACAGTGGCAGCTGGCCGGCAAATCAAGAAAATCAGACAGCAGTTTTTTCATGCAATAATGCGACAGGAAATTGGATGGTTTGATGTAAATGATGTGGGTGAACTCAACACTCGACTTATAGAGTGAGTATATTATTAACTAACAATTTTGAATTGCCCTTAAACAATGTTTCTTACCATATCTATGATCTATATTAACACATTCTTATAATTTGTATGAAAAAAAATCTACTGAATTGAATGTACATCTCATGTAGGGTTTCACAGTGAGGGCCCTGGAGTCTGAACTAGTGTGGAAAAGGGATGCCAGAGCAGCATCAACATCACTGCACTGCCAGGATGACTTAAACCTATCTTGATTGATCAGCTTTCATGCACACTGATTGTCAGGGTCTCTGAGTAGGCCTGGCTGGAACAACCACATGAGTTATCACACCTGCCTCTGATCCTTGGCTAATGTGGCTGACCCAGTTCTTTGCAACCAGACTGACTGCTGAAATTGGCACTGACCTCTTTTAAACATACCTGCAGTCTCAGGCTGCAGATATGTCCATATACAACCTTAGTCTGTTCCGGCAAGCCTCATATTCACCACTCTCCCTGGTTCTTCTGATTTATGACCTGGCTTTGGCTTTTCCTGACCCTGATCTTGGTTCTCCCCTGAAATTTAGTGCTTGTTCTGTTCTCTCTGTTTTTTCTGGCATCCTGACTTAGCTTGGCTTCCTTGACCCTGATCTAAAACTTGGCACTGGTTCTATGACCCCTGGCTCCTGACCTCGGCTTACGTCTCAGACTACATCTCTTGGATCTCCCCAACTCAGCTCTGGCAACATGTACCCTCACCTTACTAACCTCCTAGTTGCCTCCTAGTTTCCCCCCAGGGCCTATCCACAGGCCTTGCTATCTACATCCTGGATGAATCCTCACAGCTATGTGGTACTGGGAGGGTGGATACCACCGAGGGTCTACCACCAGAGCAGATTTCTGGGGGAGAGCTGATGGCTGCTTTACAGGGGCTGCAAGCCCACGTTACAGCTCTACAAGCCCAATGTACCCTGCTTCTGCCTTCACAAGGGGAGACAGCTCACTCAGCTTACCCCGAATCTCAGGTTCCACTGCCCAACAATTTCAATGGAGACCCTTGTTGCTTCTTGGAGTTCATTAATCATTGCTGCCTCACTTTTCATTTCTGCCTCAGAACCAACACATTAGATATGGCCAAGGTAGGGCAGATTATCTGTCTACTCACTGGCGATGCCCTGACCTGGGCTTCCCCACTTCAGAATCAGCAAATGCCCTCTTTGACAACCTTGAAAACTTTATCCAGGGCACAGACAAAAGCTTTTGTGACCCACATCTGGTCCATACTGTGGAGTGACCTCTCCAGACCATCAGACAGGAGTGGTACAGGGTGTCAAGTTATGTTGCCAAATTTAGGTGGTTGGTAGCTGACAGAGTGGAACAAGGCAGCTCAACGTTTCCATTTCCACCAGGATCTTTAGGGCCACATTAAAGATAAGTTAGACTGGGTGTAGCTCCCAGCTGCTTTGGATGGACTCATTGAGCTCAGTATCTATATGTGACAATGGAAAGGGGGATAGGAGAGAAAGGGAAAGCCCAAGAGGTAATCTGCCCCTGTCACTTACCTCAGCCGAAGGGGAGAATGCCACTGGAATGCCAGGTTTGGGACAATGTTGCCAGAACAGATTCTCTGTCCAGATTGGTGCATGGTGCATTCATGAAGGTACTTCCAGCTCCAGAGAGGGGCCACCAGGGAGAGTCTGGGGCATTAGGAAGGAGAAGATATTAGAAGGACTCTCCACTGAGGATTCACAGGCAGCCGAGATGCTGCAGTTGATGTGGCTGTGTCGAGCAGCATTCGAAAGAACACCAAGCAAGAGGCAGCCAGCATTGGACTTCGTGACAACTGCAGGGACGCTGGTGCAGACACCTATAGAGAAGCAAGAACCAGGTCAGATGTGGCTGGGGCAGGCAAGAGACAAAATGTACCAAGGTACCCAAGTGATGAGTTGTAGGTCCCACCCTGTCATTGCTGAGAAGCAGGTCATCGGCTGAAAGAGGACTAAGGCCATACAACACCTACTTATGCCCATCTGTTCAAGCAACAAAAGGAAGGTTAGACTAATGTTGACCTTCAGGGATGGCTTGAAAGAGCCAACGCTACCCCCAGTAGAGGCCATGCAGATAGACAAAGCTGGGAAATGGCTCCCCACAGAGGAGAAGCCTCATTGTTGTGCCTAGGCCCTCTGCCTGTATTATGGGAAGTCCAGGCATTTTGCATGGATATGCCCGACGAAAGGAATGCCTGCCTCCTCTTTGGGAACTTCCTGGCCCAGCTTTGGTAGATAAGTGTTGTCTGGGCCCACTGCTGACCATTCAATCAGTTTCTCCAATTTGCAGTAAACTCTCAAGCACCACCAAACCCCAAGACTCATCCTTGCTATTCACTCTTCAACTATAGCACCTGTTTGGGATGGTTGTCTTTGTTCCAGCCCTCTTAGACACAGGAACCTCTAGTAATTTCATGGACTCAATCCTTGCTGAACATCATCAGATACTGGTCTGACCAAAACAGAACCCAGAGGTAGTAGAAGCCATAGAAGGATTTCCATTCTCTTTGGGTCCTATCACAGTGAAACAGTCCCATTAGGAGTCTCAATCGGTGATCACCAAGAATCTCTTTGTTTTGATCTCATCCATTTCCTTCACTTTTTTGGTTATACGGGGAACCCCTTGGCTCTCTTTCCATACCCCAAATATTGTAAGGGAACTCCATTTCAACTTAAGTTACTGCTGTTAGGAGGAGATTTATCCAGTTAATACCCAGACTGGAAATAGGGCTGAAGATACCAAGTCACTTGTACCAACCATAACAGATTCATGGCTGGCCTTAGCAGAAAGTATGTATTCCCTGGAACCTGATCCATCACTCCATGACAGATACCAGGATTTGGGTGATGTATTCAATAAGAAAGAAGCAGACCAACTTCCCCTGCACCACACTTATGATTACCCCATCGATGTTGTGCCAGGGGCACAGATTCCATTTGGGCACATTTATTCACCCTCTGAGCCAGAGATCAAGGTGCTCAAGGAAAATTTTGCAGAGAAACACCATAAGGGGTTCATCAGGTCTTCTACATCCTCAGCTGGGTCCCTGATATTCTTCATGACCAAGAATGACAGCTCTCTCTGTCCCTGTGTTGACTACAGGGCCTTAAACAGGATAACAGTTTGTAATCATTTCCTGCTGCTGTTAATTAATAAGTCAAGACCATATTTTAGTCCTGCTATGGGCAATTTGAATACCTGGCTACACCCTTCAAACTCTACAGTGCTCTTGCTACATTCCAACACTTTGTTAATATGTTGGAGCAATGTATTATAATTTCTCTGGATGATATTTTAGTTTTCTCTGGTGATCCTGGCCAGTACTCAACACAGGAACAGAGAGAGCTGTCAGGTCTTGATCCGGCTCTGAGAGAACCACCTGTATGTCAAGCTAGAGAAATGTGAGTTTGATCACACTTCAACTGAATTTTTGGGTTTTATAATTTCCATCAAGGCCTAACAATGGACTCCTCATAAAGTAAATTTCCACTAAGGGGCTAACATTGGACCCCCCATAAAGTCACTGGATAGGCCACAGCACACTATGTTAAAGGGGTCCGATGGTTTGTGGACTTTGCTAGCTTGTATAGATGTTTTGTTAAAGGATTCTCACACCTAGTAGTCCCACTAACTTCCCTTCTGAAGAAAGGGGTACCATTCAAATGGTCTCCACAAGCCCAAATGGCCTTTGAGACAGTGAAAAGGGCTTTCACTTCTGCACCTGCCCTGGTGCACCCCGACCTCACAAAATCGTTTATAGTGCAAGTTGACTCCTTGAATTGTGCCATAGGGGATATTCTGTCTCAGGCCTCATATACCCCAAACAAGTTGCAGCCTTGCACCTTTTATTCCAGGGCCCTAACTCCCTCCAGAAGGAATTACAACATTTTGAACCAGGAACTCCTTATGATCAAGGCAGCCTTTGAGGAGTTGTGGCACCTTCTCTCCACCCTGTTCAGGCAATAACAGTCCATAAGAACTTGGAAGGAGATACACTGGAAGCTGAATTCATGTCAGGTCTGCTGGTCAATCTTCTTTAATTTCATAATCACCCATTGCCCAGGAGCCAAGAACCAAAAGGCAGATGACCTGTCCCATAAGGATGAACCTCTTCTCTAGAGCCATCACCACCTTCCACTATTCTCCAACCGAAGAACTTCATTTGGGGAACTACTTGGCAAAGCATCCTTTCAGCCATCCAAATGGCCCTTGCAGAGGAACTGTGCCAGGCAGTGGGAACTTCCCAACCCAATTTTTGGTGGCTCAGGAGGTTATTTTTTGACAGCATATGTGCATCCCAGACAGTCCTGTAAGGTCAAGAATATTATAGCTTTGTCATGACTCACTTCCTGCAGGACACTTCGGTTGTTCCAAGACCCAGCTCTTAATCTCTCAGCAGTTCTGGTGGCCGTGAATGGCCATGATGTCAAATAGTATGTCTACTTATGCACTGTGTGTGCCTGAACCAAGAAACCTTGAACCAGGCCAGGTGGTCTCTTCCAGCTGTTACCCACTCCCATGCTACCTTCATCAATCCTGTCAGTGAATTTCATTGTGGACCTCCCACATTCTGAGACCTGCTCCACAATTATGGTCATGGTGGTTGTATTAACTAAAATGGCCCATTTTATCCCTGCCCAGGCTGTCCCCACTGCCAGCAAAATGGCCAAACTATTTCTGAGGCTATATATTTTGCTTATATGGCTGCCCGCCAGAACTGCTCTCTGATTATGGTTCCCAGTTTATTTCACACTGCTGGCATTAGTTCTGTAAGGTCCTGGATGTGGAACCTCTTCATTCATCTGCATATCACCGTCAGACTAAAGGTCAAATGTGTAAACCAGATACTTGAGCAACACCTTAGAAGAGCAGTTTTCAACCTGTGGTCCTTGCACACCTGGGGGTCTGCAGACTATGTCTAAGGCATCTGTAAAAAATGACTGATCAATCAAAAGTATGTGAATACCCACAGTTACAATTAAAATGGGTCC